AATGTATTTAAAAATACATGTATTTAAAATTTTTTTTTTAATTCAATCCAAATAATATATTTTAAATACATGTATTTTAATTACACTCATCAAATTCAAATTCAAGTTCTCAAACACAACCTTATTATATTTGGCAAGAATTTGATATATGTAAGGTTAATAGGGGAAGTTGTTAAATAAATTCAATATAGGAAAAATTATAAGAAATTTTTTTTCTTTCTAAAGAGATATAAAATAAACTTTACGAAGTAAAAATTATATAAAAAAATAAGTACTAAAAAATATCATTTTTATTATTTATTTATTATAATTTTAAAATATATAAATATCAAAATATCTTTATAAAATTGCTGGGATAGTAAACCAAACAATCCCTAGAAAAAAGAAAGAAAAATAAAAAAAGGGCAAAGATCAATATTTTATTTTATTTTTTTCATTTTGGACAAACAATCAGACATTAACAATCATTTTGTAGATTGTCCCTTGACACTGCCAAACCCCTCCCTCTTCCATCCCAAGGCAACCCCACCAACATGTCCTACTGCACCTCCTAATTAATTAATATATTTGAAAGTCAATAAAAATAAATTAAAAAATAACCAATCAGACAATTTCCCCCCCCCAAAAAAAAAAAAAAATCAAAACCCCACACAACACTGTTAAATTAAAAAAGAAAAAGAAATTGTTTGCATGACCACCCTATCCTAAAAATCCACGTGGCCTTCTCCCTAGCCCAATTAACCTCACAAATCCTGTCAAGAGCCCCACCCACGGAGCATTGCTGGCAATTGGAAACACACATCACGTGAAAACTCCCCCCAAAATTAGCAGACTGCAATTGCTCCACGCTAATCCTTTCCTCTTTCCTCTCCTCTCATCTCCATTTTAGTTGAAAACTTGATCCTTGTCCGTACAAGCAACGGGGTCAGCAGTTGACGGTGGTTGTTGCGGTGGTGCATGGTTGTCCGTCGCAGCGCCATTCATCTTCCTGAGCTTTTGTTGGTGGTGCATTAATTGGGTTAATCTTTCTATTTCCTTCTTCAACGCCTCTTGATGAGCTGAAAAATCAAATCACAACATGTACAGTTTTAAATTATGAATTTGATTTTTCTTTTAAAATTATATAATTATAATATTAGGTAATATTGTTAGCTTATAATATATTATTATATAATTAATTTTTTAATTGAAAATTCATAATTTACTAATAATATTAGATTCATATGCTTATTTAATAAT